AGTTGACCTATGGGAGACCCAGGGCAGGTATAAATACCAATTGATACTGATGGGCGTGACCTGTAATCTAACTCAAGATAGGTTAGCTTGTAGTGAAAACTGTGGTGCAAAACACGTTCCGCATGATTTGTCATTTAAATTAGTTTTATTTTGTTCTTTTCCCAATGAAATTATTTTAAATAAAATTAACAACATTATTTAATGAAATTATTTTAAACATACATTTTTTTTTCAATGAATCCATTTTTGTTTTGCTGGGTGGAGACAGAGGGAGGGAAGATTTTTTTTTACTTGCCCCATTGTTTCCACTGCTGTGCCAAGAGATGTAATCGGTGACCTCTGGGTTGCAAATCCAGCACGCTTCCAACCATTGCACACGGCAGCTTCCAAACCTGAACTAAATGTGGACTTAATTCAGCATTTATTTGGCAGAAAATACTCATTACTGTGAGCTTCAGCTTAAAAGATGTTCATTTTTAGATTTTGCCCCTGTTGCAAATAACAGGATCATCTTCCTCGGAGTGCAGTCACGGGATGTTCCTCGGCTCTTAAAACGTTGGGGAACAAAACGAAGCAATGGTAATTCATCGCAAGAAGAGGCCCAAAAGTGGGCCAAGCTTACTCTTGACAGAGTTCCAACATTCTACTCGCCGTTTTATTTATTATGTGAAGCCGCGCACAGATGGAAGGCACCTCTTGACATCCAATTTGCCTTTTTAGTTTTCCTTTTTTTTCCCTCTCTCAGCTAAAGTAAAAGGTGAGGGTGCAGCCCTGAAATTGCTCTCTTCAACGCCACTGCTGGTTGAAGAGGAAACCTCCAATAGAGCGAGAGACAGAAGACTTATTTTTTTAGAACTACTTTTTGTGTTGTGTTTCGTTTGTTGTCCCTCGGGCAGCACCTCTGATGAGCACGGTTGGCTACTTACGGTGCGAAAGAAGTTCAACGTACATACAAAGAGACAAACAGAGCCATAGAGGCCCACAGATTAGCACGGTTGGCTACATACGGTGCGAAAGATGTTCAAAGTACGTACATAGGAACGCACCTAGACAGGATATTGGTTTGGGCCTACTCTTCCATGTTAGCCCGACGTCCTGGAAGAGGTGGGAATAGAAATGTTGCCAACGCAGCCGCAGAGCAAATCCTTCACTTTCGCTTTGATCTCCTGGCACGGCAGTTGAAACGACGGTGCAAGTTTCTTCAAATCCTCCCGCCTCTGTTCACCCATCGAACTAACTAATAAAAACTTTTCCCAGGTAATGGCCACTGCGTTATATAGCTCTTTTTTTATAAGCGACCAGGCCACAAATGATAGTTCAACGAAGTGATTTATCACGTGGACATTTCTATCAGCCAAATGCTTTGAACGCATGTAGATTCCAAATGTGGAGGGAAAAACTGGAGGACCCGGAGAAAAATCTACGTGACCACGGGGAGAACAATGTATGTATATATGTTGAACTTCTTTCGCACCATATGTAGCCAACCGTACAAATCGGAGGTGCGGGGAAAGGACAACAAACCAAACACACAAAAGAACATGCAAACGCAAAATATGCAGGAGGCGTCAGGGTCGGAATCGAACCCACGACCTTCTGCTTACCAGGCGAGGTCGTTAACATCTCGCCACCGTGGAGCCCATCAGTATAAGTACACCACAGTTAGGCAATCAGCAGGTTTGTTGGACTGGGGTAAAGCTTGGGTAATCCCACCTCGTCCATGTAAAGCACATGCACCGATACTCGCTGTTTGTATCGCGACCTGTGCAACCGTGATTATCACTAAGATCCGCATCGTGTATCTGGACCATCGCAGTACCCCATTTAAATGGAGCCTAACACCTTATTGGGCCTTTCCTGCTGAAATATTGAAACTATATCTATTTAGAAGGTGTCTGGCCAGCATGAAAAATAGGAGGCCAAATATCCTCTTGAGGGCCTCTTGAGTAGAGCTTGCTTTTGGAGGGGCTCCCCCCAGCAGCGATATGAGCGAGCAATAAAAAAAAGATCCCCCATATAGCCTTAACAAACTGTAGGGGCAAGTGCTGTTAGCGAGCACCTATGAAGGCCGGCACGGCACACGAGGGGGTGAGTGACCAGCACCACGCCCGTCCACCTTTGTCTCCCTCGTGGCAATGTTTACACACCGCACCAGGTACTCATTTGAGGCTGAGTCGACCTAGGGGAGGCCCAGGACCGATTCGGATAATCGTCACTGGTGTGGGGCTGTGAGCGGGAATCGAACTCGGGTGGCTGGGTTTGTAGCGCAATGCGCTACACACACACACACACTCAAAACATGCGTGCAAAGTTTCTAGATTTGAGTCCCTGCCCACATTACTCAGATTGTACTTAATTTTACAAAAATCCATTCTCAACTCTCAAAAACTGCAACCACAAAAAAGTATTGAAGGAATGAGAAGAGAGTTTGGCCTTTATGTTTTTTTAAACTGTAACATTAGTGACGTGAACATTTTCAGCCATCATATTATTGGTATAGGCCAAAGGACAACGGCCCTACAGAGCTCATCGACACCACCGCTGTCTGGTGCCTTCTGGCCAAGAAGAACTCCAGCTCTGTTGACTATACACTTACTCACCGATGGAAAATTTAATTTCTTATAATTCAGGTGTGCACTGTGTCGTGATGTAAACATTTACAGCCCTTTGTCAATCCACCACTGAATCTAAGGCCTCTCCATATTCCTCCAGGCCGGTTAAGCAAGGGCTGGTGGAGGGATTACCCAGATCCAGTTCATACATTACCACTGATGTTGAGAGCTGTGGCCAGGAACTGAACTCGGGTCACCGGGTTCCTGATACAGCGCATTCTAATTTTAAAATATTAAATTGTTAAGCCACGGATTATTGCACTGCATTTTAAATTAATATTTTACTTACGGCGTGAGATAACAGACAATTAAGGCAGCAGATATGAAACAGCTAAATACGTCTGAGAAATCTACCTTCCCTTGTCGCTCTCTCCCACCACCACCACCACCACCCACCGCAAATATCTTTATCGCCCAAACGCAATAACAAAAAAACCGAGGGAAGGATTCTCTATTTCTGCACTTGTCAGCAGATGAGAGTAATGACCCGTAATCCTGTGTAATTGAAATAAAGCTCCCCAGCTTTGCAGTAAGCTGGATTTGGGTCTCCTTAGAGAGCTTATTGCGAGCTGTTACTTCGTTCTCTCCCTGAAAAAAGTTGCAAGCGAGAAACCATTTTCCAGCCCAATTTAAAACGGCCCCCTTATATAAGCAACGCTGCGGGTATAGGACTCCGAGACGAACCCATACGACTTTTTTTATTTCATTTCGGTCAATATTGCAACTGAGACTATATCCTGGTCTCTTGAGTTCTTGCCGGGGTCACGTAGATTTTTCTCCGAAGAGAGCGACCCCACGGTGGGGGGGGGGGGCTGATCGAACCCATGACCTCCTGTATACCATGCCAGGTAGTTAACATCTCACAACATAGCATCCACTCACTAAACTCACCCGCACCTCACTTATTCAATCATCCTACTTATCCGCCTAACGATACCACACTCTTCACTCATTCGTTCCGTATAGCCTATAACAGACTGTCGGGGCAAGCGCTGTTCACCAGAACCTAAGAGGCACGGCACACGAGGGTGTGGGTGGCCAACACCACGCCGGGCCGCCTTTGTCTCCCCAGCGGAGCCTCTAACCGGGGACGATTTCAACGCACGGCGACGGCACCGTCAAATATTGCGGAGCGGTAACGGCACAGCCTAGCGGGACGTAAAACTTCGCACAGGAAACCTGCACACACGGGGGGATGGGGGGGGGGTGCCCCCCACACTAAACCCCAAAAACAATAGCTTTGCCCCCCTCCACCCCACCGCAGCCCACGTCTCTCCCGACTGTGGGAATTCCTGTACTCGACAGGAAACTCGCCACACGGAAGAATGCATCACGTAGGCCGACTCCAGCAAGTGAAACGCGACTCGATCGCCGCGGCCAAGGCAGCGGCAGGGTGTTCCGCGTGCACCGCATTGCGGTTTTTTTTTTTTTGGTCAAGGCACTTTAAAAAATATATATGTATATATTTTTAGCCGGCGACCAAATCAAATGGGATCGCGCCACCCCGACCTCGTGACATCGGGGAAGCCAAGCAAGCTTGGGCCTGGACAGCGCTGAGATGGGCGACCACCAACGGTGCCCGTCAGGTTGGCACAGGTGGCGGCCGCGAGGGCACCGCGCTACCAACTCGGCAGCAGAGGGCAGTGAAGCAACAGCCGCTGTTGTACTGTGGTTCTGTGAGGCCACTGCTCGGGCTGCTTTGGCCACCCGTGCCACCCCCCCCCCCCCCCCCCCGGTGCAGTTGCACCGCCTGCACACTCGGCGGCTACAGCACGGGCGGCGCAGCACGAATCGGGGGGATCGCGGTGGCTAGGAGATGTTAACTACCTCGCCTGGTATACAGGAGGTCGTGGGTTCCACCCCGACCCTGACGCCTGCTGTATATTTGGAGTTTGCATGTTCTTTTGTGTGTTTGGTTTGTTGTCCTTTCCCCGCACCTCCGATTTGTACGGTTGGCTACATATGGTGCGAAAGAAGTTCAACATATATACATACATTGTTCTCCCCGTGGTCACGTGGATTTTTCTCTGGGGTCCCTCCACATGTAGAATCAACATCACGCGTTCAAGAGCATTTGGATGCTATAAATGTCCATGTGATGATAAGCCACTTAGCCGAGCTATCATTTGTGGCCAGGTCGCTTCTGAATAAGAAGCTAATAGCTCAATGGGCCTTTAGCTGCTCAAGAAAAATCGTCGAGTTCACGGTTGAAATAGTTGTCGTGACGCGCACGGCGTGGGCGAGGCCCTCATCCAGCAGTGGATTTGCTAGAAGGGGCCGTCGCGAGCGCACGCACAGCCGGGGTCGTGCCGGGGTCGTGCCGCGCGCGGTGCAGCGATCGTTCCGCGCCCGGCCCTCGAGTGGCCGTGCGGACTCGGCGGCGCTTACGGTGGTGGTGGGACTTGGTGACGCGCTCCGTGTCGAGCGCGTGGTAGTACTCGTACACCGAGCGGCCGAGCAGCTCCTTCGGGTGGTACCCAATCAGGTCGGTTATCCTACGTGCACACGTACACACACAAAGACAAAGATCCCCCCCCCCGTGTAGCCTTAAGACTGTTGGGGCAAGTGCTGTTAGTGAGCGGCGCCTATGAAGGCCGGCACGGCGCACGATGGTGGGGTGGGTGGCCAGCACCGCGCCCGGCCGCCTTTGTCTCCCCAGTGGCGTTGCTTTTACAAACTGCACCAGATCCTCGTCTGAGGCTGAGTCGTCCTAGCTGAGGCCCAGGACTGGTACAGATAATCATCACTAGTTATTAGCCGTGAGCGGGAATCGAACCCGGACCGCCGGGTGCGTAGCGCAGCTCACTAACTGCTACACTAACGCTCCCCACACCACGCATGCAACACATGTACAGACACACACACATGTACAGACACACACACATGTACAGACACACACACACACGTACACACACGTACACACGAGTGGCTGTGACTATTCCAACGTTTAGCTCCACGCTGCTGCAACTGCACGAGGACACCCCGGGGGCCATAGGCGCGCCGAGATGGGAGAATAAAAGCACCGCACGACAGCAAATCGTGTTGTACTGAATGCGGTTCCGGTTGTGAATTCAAGACACAGTGCGGCCTGGTCAAGGCAAGGGACAACCCGCTCTACGCGGTAGTAGATGCATTCCAAAAAACGGGGTGCACAAAGCGTAGCATGGACCGCACAATCACCCGACCCACAATGCAGCGCACGAGAGACAGCTGCCTGCCGAGCGGTGCGTACGGTACACACAGTACACGAACGTTGTCCCGCGTCTGACCGCATAGCCGCATCTGAATGAATTAAAATCGCACAACATGGAGATTTTCGAGGTACGCGGCACGCGGAATCGCACCGAGCGAACCCGCATACAGCGAGGGAAACCCGCACCGGATATTTGCTCCCGTCAAACGATGTGAGAATTGCGTGGGGTGACGCGAGTTGCAAGGATTCGTGTTCTGTTTAAGTTCAACCCGTGTGCGAGCGACAGATATCGCATTGACCGCTATACTATTAACGAACTATTATTTTATATTTTACCAGATAAGGCCCACTGAGCTACACGGCTCTTTTTGAGTAGCGACCTCGCCACAAATGATAGCTCAGGGACCTGGCCACAAATGATAGCTCAGCTACGTGGCTTATCGCGTGGAAATGTATAGCAGCCGAATACTTTGAAACGCACGTTGATTCCAAATGTGGAGGGAAAAACCCAGAGGACACGGAGAAAAATCCGCGCGACCACCACATATTTATGATGAACTGCTTTCACACACCGTATGGAGCCAACCGTGCTAATCGGGAAGTGCGGGACAGCAAAAATGGGGAGAACACGGAAACTCCAAGTGCGCAGACGAATAAATGAATCTGAGAGATTTTCTTGTTGCTCCCCGTTGTAAGTCCGTACGTTGAACTTCTTTCATACCAGGCAAGGGAGGTAACATCTCCTAGCCACCGTGGCACTCCAAAGAAAAAAATAGAGGGGGGGGGGGGCGGGAAGGGGGGGGGGGGGTAATGGCCGAGAGAGACGACGGAGCGGTCAGCCGGACGAGGCGTCGTGGCTCCATCTCCGCGGTGGACGTGCCCCCAGGAGACGGAGCCACGACATCGGCTCGCGCCTACGCTGCCGGGTGGACTGCTGCGTCGTGGGATGGCGAGAGATGGCCTTTGGGGAAGGCCTTTGTCCAGCAGTGGATAGGTCATGGCTGCTGCTGACGGTGGTAAGCATAGCCCGGGGGAGAGGCTCTCGATGGCGCCTGCTGCTTTGTAATACACTTAGCAAATTTTAGTCACGGATGGTTTTATTTTGTGTTTGCATTGTGGATAGACCTTTGAAATGCATATTTGATGTTCGGATCGGTTTCTGAAAGTAAATTAAAAAAACACAGAGGCATGACCTGCGCCTTTGTCATTGAGACAGGACAGTGGCTGAAGCTGTATTGGAAAAAAAAAGACACATCACAGAGTCATCTGAGAATAATTTTCAAACGTTCTTTTCATTAAGATGTCATTAAATCTTTGTTTGCATCTCAACGTCATCATCGTCATCATCATCGTCAGCCATGATCAATACACTGCTGGATGAAGGCCTCCTGCCTAAGCCGTCACCACCTCTCAAGATCTCTGCGATGTAGTGATCCACCCAGCACTAGCTGGTCTCACCGTTCCCTGCACAATCGATTTCCTTCCTTCAGCCCTCCGTCAATCCACCGCTGGATGAAGGGCTCTGCACACACCGCGTCGAACATTGGGGCTATATGACCATACTTCCCTACGCTGGTCAGCGCTGACTCGTAAAGAGGAGGGGGGTAAGGGGGGGGGGAGCTCAAAATAGATTTCGGTAATCACTCGCCCTTACCACCCCCCCCCCCCGTCTTCACCCCACCTCTCCGTCCTGACAAATTGCCACAATTCAGGGTGGCAATTCAGTTAAAAACTTAAAAAAATCTCTGACTGGTTTCTGAACGCCGTTGCCGTGGCCACGCGGCGGCGACAGCAGCGGTGCTGGCGGCCACTTGCAGCTGCGGAGAGGTCGTGTGAGCCCATTACACACGACCCAAACGGATGGAAGCAAGTCAATCCTTACACAAGCGATTTGACACCTGCAGAGCGAGGGATCGATATTATTGATTAATCGACGCACCCTTACACCCTTCTAAATATTTGACCGTGACCTCCCGGTCGTTCGCCGTACCCCCGCGTGTTGTCCGGATGAATGGGGAGCGTTTGGCGAAGTGACGCTAAAATTACTCAACAAACGCTGGGACAGAGACTAAAAGGCCGGGTGGACCCAACGCCGCCGCTGGCGCTCGACGAACTTGCGACCAGCAACGGCGCAAACTGCGGCGGCAAGGCTCGTCCACCACCACCGCCACTGACGCCACCGCCACCGCCCCTACCACCGCCAGAGACCAAAAGAGATCGGGAGATGCGGTCGGCCATGGCGGCTAAATGGACTGGCGCATCGTGAGACCAAGCTAGATGACACCATGCGGCGGCGATGGATAGGAGGTCGAACATTTATTTTCTTTAGAACTGGGTGGCCAGCACTACGCCCGGCCGCCTTCGTCTCCCCCAGTTCTAATGTTTACAAATCGCGCCAGGCACGCACGTGAGGCTGAGCCGATCAAGGGGAGAGCCCCAGCACCGGCGCAGATAATCATCACTGGCGTCGGTGGCCACGAGCGTGAATCGAACTCGGGCCGCCGGGCTCGTCGCGCGTGCGGCACGCCAACCGCTGCACGACCAACACGCGTGCACCAGGCGCGCACCACGCTCGCGCACAGCGGGCACACCTCTCGTCGCAGTAGGTGAACTTCATGTCCATGGCGTGGCGCGTCAGGAAGGTGCGGCTGTCGAGCGGCGTCTCGATGCTGGCCGGGTGCGGGATCGGCGAGCAGAGGAGCACCAGGCAGTTGGCGGCCGGGATGGACGACGCCCTGGACACCGACGGCGCTCCAAGGAATGCACGAGGCGATGCCTGTTGCTGCTGCTGCTGATGATGATGATGATGAAGCTGCTGCTGCTGTTGGTGTTGTTGATGCTGCTGCCGCTGTTGTTGTTGCTGCTCCATCCCCTCCGGGAATGACCCCGAGGGGTCACCGCACACGCGCATGTGACCCGTGCAGTGCAGGACCTGCGTGGTGGTGCACGCGCACAGACGAATGAATGAATGAATCTGCCAGATTTTCTCGTTGCTCCCCGTTGTATGTTCGTACGTACGTTGAACTTCTTTTGCACCGCACGTAGCCAACCGTGCTCATTGGAGGTGCCGGGGGGAGGAAGGAGGGAAGAAAACTAAACACAATTTAGCTAAAAATAAATTACCAGCCGTAACGCCCGCACCTTCCCCCATATCTGCCGCTCCAAATAATTGCATATTATTTTTTTTTGTTTTACGTGTCAAAGTATCTATTTTTTACACATCCCATTAACCGCACGGCCTTCTGGGCATGCACCTCTTCAGCAAGCATTGGTTTAACGCTCGAAAACTCTGGACGGGTTTCGACATGCAGTGTCTCATCAGCAACCAGGCTTGCCGAAACCAAATGCCCGATGGATGCTTAGAGGCACGGACCCCTCTCGGGGGTCCTCTCACTCACGACGTCGCACGGTAACCGTTAGCAACGTTGTGAGAGGACCCAGAGAAAAGTCCACGTGACCACGAGGAGAGAGACACGCATATCTCCGAATATACAACAGGCGTCAGGGCGAAGATCGAACCCACGCCTTCCTACATAACAGGCGAGGGAGTTAACGTCTCGCCACCAAGGAAGAAGAATCGCCACTCACGATGGAGGAGGAGGTGGGGGGGGCGACCCTGGGAGGGCGGGGGAACGCCGCTAATCTAAGCCAGGCATGCGTTAGTGAGGGTCTGGCGTCTGCAGCGCAGTGCGCCGCCCCGGACAGAATCTCATTAGGGCCCCGCAGGCCGCGCTCAATTAGCGCGGCTCGCACAGACACACCTGCTCGCTGGACGCTCAACCTAAACGGCAACTTTAACCCGAGACCCAACCCAAGTCTCACCTTGAAACTTTAACGACAGCACCGCGGACCGTGCTCAATTAGCACGACTCGCACTCCGGCACCTGCCGCTGTGCATCAAATCGAATGTAAGCCCTAAATCTTCACCCCGAAACCCACTGATGACCCTACCCTAACCCCTAACTCTAAATGCAACTGTTAACCATAGGCTAAAGGCCAAACCTTAAAGCCAACTGTAACAAAACCCGAAAACCAAAACTGGCCCTAAAACTTTAACTCAGCTAAATCATTGCCTTAACCCTAAACTTATCCCTAACCACAACTCCGTATTCCTAACCCTGACGCAACGTATAATCTAACGCCTAACACTGGCCCTATCTCCAGCCCTAACTCTGCCACTCAACCCGAATGCTAAACCCAGCCCCAACTTTATCCCTAACCCCAAGCTCAACTCTAGCTCCTAAGCCTACCCTAATCCCAGCCATAACTCTAACCACACCCTAACCCTGACTTCATTGCTGCCCCAGTACCAATTGGAAACAGCTGATGGGCTACCCGAGGCCCCCCGATAGCAACCACTGATTGAGTTTCCAGCCACCGCGCACGCACGATACCTTCATGAAGACAATTCAATTACATTTCATCGTAATTCACTGCCGCTTATTTATTTCGCTAGGCGGGAGCCTACCGTGGATGAACAGGGACCTTCATACCAGTGGTGTTTGTGCGGTTGGCATGGGCCCTTGGTGGAAAGAATGAAATGGGTCTGGGGGGGGGGGGGCTGCGAGGGGGGCCGGGGGCAGGTGGGGAGGGGGATTTAAGAAGTGTGCACCGTTGTTTCAGCTGCCCCGACGTCGCGACAACGAAACCAGCGACCTCCAGATTCCCGCCCATGCGGCGGGTTCACCGTTACCCCACGGCAGTGCCCGGGGGGGGGCCGGACCGCCCTTACCTTCCACGTGGCCGACTTGAGGTTGACGGTTTTGCCGCGGCTGGTGATGGTGCACTTCATCCGGACGAAGAAGTCCCTCTCCGTGCCAGCGTCCGCACCCTTCCTGGCAGCGCCTGCGGGGGTGGCAAACGGTCGACACAGAACACAACCGAAGGGGGGGGGGGGGGGGCGCCGGGGATTCCGTTTCACGTTCACTCTGACGCCGATTCCTCGCTGCTCCGATCCTCGACCGAATGCGCCCTCTCGACGGTTCTCGACGCCCTTCACGGCCACATCGCGGCTGCCCCAGGCCCTCGCATCAGGGTCAGCGCAGCGGCGGAGGGGACAGGCCGGGCGTGCGTGCTTCCAGACACACTTGGACACCTGGCAGTGTTCGTTGACGAAGGAGTCGTGGGCAATTCTGGCAAATGGCCTGATGAGGCTTCTTGTAATAACCGGCGAAGCGTCACAGTACTCTAATTGTAAATGTTGTGGGTTTACTCTCCGACACACCGGTGTGCTGAACTAGTAACTAATGGGCACGTTTTGTTTACGTGACAAACCTTGCTAATTGGCTGCGTCGGGTGTTGGCGGGTGTAACGACGCATTTATATTTACACGATCTAACTCAATTCCGTCACCAGCCTGGGCCAACGACCACCACCATCTCCCCTCGTAGCCATGACGAGTCCGGCACAAGCCCGCTTCATTCTCTCAACGGTCAATGAGATGTCTCTTGTTTTGTAAATCAATGTGTGCTCCTCTTTTAATGAAATCCCAAGCACGCGGTTCCTTTGTCGCCGCTAATGTCCCCTGTGCTGTGAGCGACAACCTACGCACCTCGCCATACGGCACGCGTGCTCTCGTTATGCTTCTAGCTGCTATTATATACAAACACACACAAGGTGGAACCATCTGTGTGAAATATTAAAGAAAAAAAAGAAACAACCGAGTTTGTTTTGCACGTGATGAACTCTCTGTGGGGCGCGGTCCTTCAAATCGATTTCAGATGTAGTCCTGCTGATGCTATCTTTCCAGTGCTGCTATATGACACAAGGTGATCCACTGCTGGCTGCAGATTTCTGCATTAACGTTGCATCATCTCGTTTCACGATGCTCACGGCATTACTGGAATGTAATTGGGGGGTAAGGGGGGTGGGAAGCAAAGATCTTAACAAAAAAGGTGAAACTGTCTAAATAAATCAAGGCTATGTCGTGTTAGCCCGGGGTGTTGGGTTATATTTATGCAGTGTCATTCTTTGAATGTCATTGTTTATATATATTACTAGTGGGAAGTACCCGGCGTTGCCCGGGTGAAAAATATATTTCAAAACTTCTCTTAAAAACCTTACATATGCATACACAGATACTAAGCTATTGTGAAAGCCCGGTGGGCCGTTTGTCCATTTCTCCACCAACAAAATTATAAGAGGCTTGCAAAAGTCGAAAAAGTTATATAAAGTGTGGGGTAAATAGTTGATGTAAAAGCTTTCCGAAAATTGTCGACCCCCCCTCCACCTCAAAAAATATATTTACCCCCGCGTAGGTATATATACCTACACACCTTACAGCAGAGTAAGTAGTATCTAGTGACTCTGTAGTTGTATCTACTGACTGTACAGTAGTATCTACTGAAACACGGTAGGACCAACACCTCGGCCGTGGCAGATCATTGTTATAATTCAGTAGGCTCACATGACATTGACTTTTCCAAGACAGAGGTTCTTTGTAAGCCATCTGGCTACCATGAGAGATTCGTTCATGAGGCTATCCACATATACAAGCACAGAGATAATTTCAACCGAGAAGATGGATTCTGGCTTAGCAATCATTGGAAGGATTTGATAAACCATTTCGTGTCTTAATTGATTTTTCACGCTTACGGTGGCTTTCAGACAGCATACATTCAATTTTTCGTCTCCCCCCCTCCTCTTTTCAGAACATAGATGGACTAGTCCTTCTAAATAAACTGCCAAATCGCTGCGCGTGGCGCTGACGTTTTTTTTATAAATAAATAAATACACCGTTTACAAATAAATTAATGCAAACCGACACACCTGATGACGACCGTTTGTGTTATGGTCGAAACGTCGTGAGAATAATTTTTATTGGTTTTTTAGATATTTTATTATTTTATTGTTTCCCTTCAACGTGACTTTACCGAAAGAGCTAAGAATATGAATTACTGCAGTCACGAAAGCTTTAAATCAAAATTTAGCTACTGACTGTTTAGTAGTCTTTAGTGACTGTAGTAACTACTGACCATAGTATTTACTGGACCTACAGTAGCATCTACCGACTCTATAGTAGTAACGACTAACTGTATAGTAGTAACTGCTGACTCTATAGTAGTATCCACTGACTATAGTAGTAACTACTAACTCTATAGCAGTATCTAATCACTCTATAGTAGTATCTACTGACTCTAGTAACTACTCACCGTAGTAGTAGTAGTAGTATGTACTGATTGTATAGTAGTATATACTGACTGTAGCAGTATTGACTGACTGTAGTGGTATATACTGACTGTTTTAGTATCTACCAACTCGATAGCAGTATCTATTATCACTACAGCAGTACATACCGACTGAGGTGGTACCTGCTATCACTACAGCAGTGTATACTGACAGTGGTGGCACCTGCTATGATTACAGCAGTGCATACCGACTTTGGTGGTACCTGCACAGCAGCGCATGCTGACCGTGGTGGTACCTGCTATGATTACAGCAGTGCATAATGTGGTGGAACCTGCTTTCATTACAGCAGTGCATACTGTGGTGGTACGTGCTATCATTACAGCAGTGCATACTGACTGGTGATACCTGCTATGATTACAGCAGTGGATACTGACTGGTGATACCTGCTATGATGGCAGAAAAAAGGTGAAAAACCCTGTTATTACATTTCGGTATTGGCAAAGGAGGTCTAATGATGTAGATGCTCACCCCGAGCCCTCATTACTTTGATAGTGGCATTGTCTTTGAGCTGTGTGACGCCTTTTGGCGTCATCTGGTCGAGCACCAATTGGGTCGAGGCTCAAAAGAAAGCCGTCCCTTGGTGTGGACCAATCAGTTTCAAGGACAATGCATCATATAATATCATAGTATGTTTTTTTGTTGTTGCAGTTTGACTGCAGGTATTGTGGTTAATGCAGACATGAATTCTTGTAAAAAGGTTTCAGTTTTGTTGCCAGAGAGGGGGGCTGGGGTGGAGGGGGGCAGGGTGGGGGGCAGGGGGTGGGGTGAAGGGGGGTGGAGGGGGGCAGGGGGTGGGGGTGGGTAGGGGTGGGTGGGGAGCAGGGGGGTGGGGGTGGAGGGGGGCGTGGGGGTGGAGGGGGGCGTGGGGGTGGGGGGCAGGGTGGGGGGCAGGGGGGTGGGGGGCAGCTGTTGTAATTCGCCGCACGCGTCACGACGACGCATCGACCGCTCTCACCGTCGTCGTTGTGACAGCGGCGGAAAAACAAAACGATAAACCGGGTAAACAATGATGTAGTCAGCGGCGGCCCGGTGTGCAAGATGTTACACAAGCGGACCTCATTACAGAGAACTTTCATTGTTCGAGATTTGAGGGGAGAAATAAAGTGACAAAATAAAAAAACACAAAGCTAGCCGTCTCGCTGCTGCGACTTCCGACGATGACGCTGACGGCGGACGCGTGCTACTAGAGTCACTGCTGCTCACTGCTGTAGCCGATGATGACGATGATGAAGAAGAAGAAGACGACGATAACGAAGACGACGACGTTCATTAAAAAAACAATTCACGTCTCGTACACAGGAGCAACAAACGCACGGCACACGCCGCGCGGGTATATAAAAATCAATACGGTGTAAAACAACAAGCCGGTCGTCAGTGGCGTTAACATTCGACGCAATTTCATTGCGGGTGAGACGGTACAACAATCGCACGTGTTAAAAATAACCCCCCCGCCGCTAAGTAAACAGCCTCACGTGTTGTTTTTGTTCAATGCTACATCAACAGGTTTGGCTTGTCGCCATGGCAACAGCGCCGTCACCTTGACAACGTCTGCGTCCCGTCGCCAGGCAACCGCGTCAATTACCGCGGTCGCGGGGCCGCAGTGAAGCGGCCGTCCGTGCGCGCGCGCGCGGGGGGAAATAAATAAATATATAACAACAACGCATCGGAATATTCTTAAATCGTGAAAGCCAAGCTCGTGAAGCACACGCCGAGTTTCAGCGCCCCGTTGCCTCTTGAACGTCGACTCGCCTCCCTGCGGGGAGTCTCCTCTTTCTGCGTGTGTGGGTCTCCCCTGCCCGCCCTCATTTCGTGGTTTTCGTTTCGCATCGCCCCTGCCAAGCGGACCCCAAGGTCCACAGGGTCAGGCACGCGCGTGTGTGTGTGAGTGTGTGTGTGTGTGCTCACACGCACGAGCATGTGAGTGTGTGCTCACACGCACGAGCATGTGAGTGTGTGTGTGCGCTCACACGCACCAGCATGTGAGTGTGTGCTCACACGCACGAGCATGTGAGTGTGTGTGTGCTCACACGCACGAGCATGTGAGTGTGTGCTCACACTTACCAGCATGTGTGTGTGCTCACACAGTAGTGGAGCGGTTAGCGCTACGCTGCGCTACGAACCCGACAAACCCGGGTTCGATTCCCGTTCACGGCCAACAGCAGTGACGATTATCTGAACCGGTCCTGGCCTCCCCTAGGTCGACTCAGCCTCAAATGAGTACCTGGTGCGGTGTGTAAACATCGCCACTAGGGAGACAAAGGCGGCCGGGCGTGGTGTTGGCCACCCACCCCCTCGTGTGCCGTGCCGGCCTTCATAGGTGCTCGCTAACAGCACTTGCCCCTAAAGTCTATTAAGGCTATGCGGAGGATCTTTGTATTTGTACTCACACGTTAATTATTCCAGCGTTGCAGGGAGAGTGGTGACCTTCGGTTCGTCACGGGCTAAAGGAATTGCGCGAGAAATAAAATAAAATATAATTGTACGCGCCGTCGCTTTTAGAGGCACCATCACCACCATCCGGCGACGATTTTGCGCGGATTCATTTCACTTACCGCAAATCGTGTGCTGCGATGCTCGCCGAAGGCCGCGTTGGTTTTGTGAATAAAAATCACCTTTTTGAACCGTCGGGCTGATTGGAGAACATGTACTTGAGAATGAATTGGCTTCCTTCGATTCTGTCCTTCTCTCAAAGGCAATGGCAGGTCCGTGGCTCAAGTCTCCTCGATCCATCCGATTTCCACTCATCACCGCCGCCTTCACCTCTGAGCACCACACCTCCCTGCGAGGGTTCTTGAGACATGGCTAACGAATGAGGTGCGGCCTCCCCGGGGCCTCCATCAGCGGTGTCTTTTCGGCGACACGGTCGCCAGAGTCGGTTTAACAGCGTATCCCGGGAACTTATTCAATTCGACGGCCGTTATTCATCCCTGCGGTCGGCGAAGTGTAAAGCGGAAATTCACAATCCCTTCTTTCAATGTGAGTCCTAGCTCACCAAACATTGGATTCTTGAAACTGTCCGTGCCGAGCTTCGGGTGGTTACCCTTTGAGCGTGGCACGGAGCGGAGGGGAGCGTGACGGGGAACTTACCGCGTTTCTGCGCGAGAACCTCCCTGAGTTCCTCCTGGTCACACGGGTGGACGAACTCAAAGATGCTGTTCCCCGTCATCTCCACCTGCGTGCATCACGGACAAGCCTAGCATGATCACTCTCGGAGCGGTCACTCTCGATCACGCACTACACCGCCATACTCGATTACAAGCTCATTTCTTGCGAACAGCTTTTTCTGTTTAATTTGTTGTCCTTCCCCCGCACCTCCGATCGGCGTGGTTGGCTACGTACGGTGCGAGAGAAGTTCAGCGTACGTACTGCCGCTCCCGGGAGGTCAAGTTGAATCGGTGACCTCTGTACGGCAGGTGCAGTGAGTGAACCCGTCACACCACGGCAGGCTCCGTCGCTGCCTTGCGCACAACTTTGTGATGTACAAAGTATAGACGGGCAGACAAAATGTCTGCTTCTCAACCAAAAAGAAAAAATATGTAAACTCTTCCACCACTCATCGGCCCCACGGCCTTCTGGGAGTACACGATATCAGCAACATTGAATCGACGCGACAAAACTCTATATTTCTCGATTTCGATACGCAGCTCCTCATCAGGCTTGCTTGACTCAATGCCGAATATGTATATTGGTAATACATCTCAACAGTGTGCGGATGAACTTTGTGAGAAATGCTGCGACCGCCGTTACAAAGCGACAGGCAGACACTGGAGAGGCAACGCGAAGCGTCGTCGCGCTCTCGAGCTCCCTCGGAACGGATTGGAACAAAGTCCCTCAAACACTAAACGCGAACCGAGCAACTACAGTCCGCTCTCCTATAACGCCGCGTGTAGTTCTCACAACGCGAATTAGATAGAGCATGATGACCGTTTTTGGGGACACATTTTGTCATCGCGCGGATGTCAATTGGATATAACGCGATTGAGTGAACGGATCGACGTCGCAGCGCGAGTAGGAATAAGCGGTCGTACGGCTGCCTCGGCGAAGCGCCGCACAAGGCAGTGGGATGCTGCTGGATGCTTCTAGATGCCACCCACGGTTCCTCGGTCTTTAACCGGCATGCGTTAAGCATCTCACGTGCTATCGTGGACTGTGCTTTACCCCTCTAGAATACAAATAATCTATTACAACCGCGATTTTCCCCCACAACGCGGTGTTCTTTGGGAACGCAACAACTCCCGTCGCGTTACAGGAGAAACGGACTGCAGATCGTGGACCTGGCACAACCTTCGCCCGGGGCCGGGCAGGGCCGCACGTCACGGCGCAACGCGCAGGCACGCCGACGCTCACCTGCGGCAGTCCCAGGTGCTTGCCGACGTTGTCGGACAGGTAGGTCATGTCGCCTTCGCTCGACAGCACCATCACGAAGCCCTCGAGGGCCCTCAGGGTGAGGGCGTCCAGGGAGCTGCCGGATTCGCCAGCGTGGTCCTCTTCCACCTCCTCCACCGCCGCTGCAGCAGCCGCCGCGTCGCACCGGGACAGCCCTGTTTGGGAGAAACACGCAGACGACGGGGGTTGTGAACGTCCGGTCAACGTTCGGTTATCCCCCTCCTCGCTCCCACCTGTAAACCGTACATCTGGAATCTCCCTTCCTCTGGCCATCCACGCTGCTGTGACGCTTCTCCTTCGCTTCGTGCAGGCTCAGGTCGAGTCAAACCTCGAGCGCTCGTCGGATATATCCGCAGCGCCATTCACGTAGCGCAAGGGCCGTTTTAGTTTGTTTGTTTGCGAAGGTGCTGCGTTTCACAGACGGGATTATAGTCGGCAGTGGTTTCACACGAGAGGCGGGCAGGCAAGGTTAAAATGTGGCTTCAGCAAATTAAATCACCTGTGCGATGGGAAGCGACAGACGGACGCGGGCCATATCGCCGATTTGGACCGTGATGCTGGATTGACGTCACGGGATCTTTAACTTTCAACGATAAAACAGTCTGCAGGGTCACTCAGTCCAATCAACCACAACAAGCAACGCACGCACGGGGAAGCCTCCATCCAGCAGTGGATTGATGAAGGGTCTAAATGATTGTTGTTCATTTATTTTTTTACCTGTATGACACACTTTGTAAAAGAGGTGGTGCAATTTTTAGTGCACTCGCTAGAAAATCGGCAACTCGCGTTCAATTCCCAACCGCCATCTATCATGCCTGCGCTGCCCTCCGTAGCCCACGACAGACCATATTCCCTGGGTCATCAGACGCACTTTTCCCCCATGTATTCGAAAGCAAAAGTTGGGGAATGCGTCTTATAATCCGGTAGGCGATTGCGTGCGCGTGTGTGCGAGACCGTGGGGAGTGGTAGCGCAGCGTTTAGCGCGCTACTGCGCTACAAACTCGGAAACCCGAGTTCGATTCCCGTTCACGGCCAACTCCAGTGACGATTATCTGAACCGGTTCTGGGCCTCCCCTAGGTCAACTCAGTCTCAGTTGTGCGGTGTGTAAGCATCGCCATTGGGGAGACAAAGGCGGCCGGACGTGGTGCTGCCTATGCACCCCTTCATGTACCGTTCCGGCCTTCATAGGCGCTCGCTAACAGCACTTGCCCCAACAGTCCGTTAAGGCTATACAGGGGATCTTTGTCTTTTGTCTTGTGTGTGAAACCAGATTTGAATAACTTTGCTGGCCCCGGCGCACAAGTTTGGGGTGCGTCGTCCAACCCGAAGACTCCGGTAGCTCAAACGCCTCTACCATAAGTGAACAGCCTGGCGTTCAGCGCGTGTACGTTGAACTCACTGACAAAAAGGTGTAATCGTCTTGATACTGGCAAGAAGGCTCCATAGTTATGAGCTCTCATTCGCACCGTACGTACTGCATGGTGCTGATTTTGCCAATCCAAGCACTATCCAGGCTCAAGCCCTTGCTGAGCTTTTGTAGAACTATGAAGATCAGGTGAATTCTGGGTGAATGTGGTCATTGGCAAGGCACTGTGGTGACGCTGTTGCTGCTGTTGCTGTTGCTGGTGGTGTCGTTGTCGTCGCTTGTGACTTGGCTACCCTAAGTGGAGGCCGCGCAGTTATTTTTTTGGTTTGGCAATTAAGTGGAATTTTCTACGGAACAACACAGCAAGGCTAAACAAACAGGGGTCGGCGGCAGGATGGAGTGGGAGGGGGGAGGGGGGGTGGCGCTGCGGATGGTGGCGGGCGAGTGGCGAGCGTGCGATGGAGAAAACTGGAACGAGGGGAACGTTGCGGTGGCGGTCGGGCGGGCGGGCGGTTGTGCAGGGGGGGGTGCCCCCGTGCGTCGTGGTTGGTCGTCAGCGGCGGCGGCGGCCGGAGACGACTGGCTGCCGTCCACGGACTCCTCTTTGGCGCCACGATCTGCCTTCGGTCCGGAAGCGCTAATCAGTTGGGGGCCCCCGGGTTTTTTTGTTGTTGCTGCTGCTGCTACTGCTGCGCTCTTTTGCGTTTTCGTGCAAAGGAAGTCGAGGGAGTTTGTATACACGCGCTTATTGTGGAACGCGCGCGCGCGCAAACGGACACACGGTAGGCACATTCGCGCGCACACGCACTCACGCAAGCGATCTGCTTTGTATATACACGCCGATTGTGGAACGCTCACGCACGCGCCCAACATATACGCGCGCGCACAAATTGACGTACGGCACAAAGGCAAAGATCCTCCAGTAGAGCCTTGATAGGCTGTTGGGGCAAGTGCTGCTAGCGAGTGGCACCTATGAAGGCCGGCACGGTGGCACACGAGGGGGTGGGTGGGCCAGCAGCCACGTACGGCACACGCACTCGAAGACACTGCAATTTTATTTTCTTGGGTGTGATGGAAATACGTGCAGGCGCCAATTGCCAATGTCGAGCTCTGCGAGCCACGGGAGGGCTTTAGGCGAGAGAGAGAGAGTTGGTGTCGTTTTGCTGTTCCTCCAACATCGAAGGAGCGCAGACCACGGTGGTTTACTCGACGGGCCTCAGCTTGGGTTGCACGGCCAACAAATCGCACCGCTGTAGCTCGTCTTTAATGTCCCATTCATGTTTGTCACCAACTGCTGATGCTGGTGCGATAACGAGGCCCGGCAGCTCTGGGTCCACCACACGTGGCCATCAGCCATCATGAAGACCAGGGTGGAAAGGGGAGCACACGAGGGGATACTAAGGGGATAGACGCGTATAATGCGTCTCATTTGGGGACACGAGGTCCCAAGGGGATAGATAGGTGGCTCCGTAAGCGGTCGACAGCAGTAATGTAAAGATGCACGTTGAACTTCTTTTCGCACCGTAGGTAGCAAACCGCGCTAACCGGAGGCCCGGGGAAAGGACAACAAACTAAACACAAAGTTCAGTTTTAACGAAACGAGTTTTTAATCTAGACGATTTAAAAGTGCACAGCTCCAGTGGCTTCCTAATATTGGAAGGAAGAGCGTTCCAGACGGCCGCAGAAGGGAATGCGAAAGCGCGCACCGCGGTGACCGCCTTTGTTCCATGGCCAGCCAAAAGCCGCCGCTGTGAGGATGACCGGAGTTCCCATGACGGATTACGCTCCTTGACCTGTCACGTTACGTTATTTCAGGTCGTTCGGTGTCGTCTTCTTGTTGCGGGGATTATCCCCGGCGTTAATAATCAAGCGGTCGAGGTGTTTGCGGGAAAAAAGAACACGACGTTAAAGGGGGAGACGTAAGTCGGGGTCATTGCTGCTGTTCCACAAACGCAGCTGATGCCCTCGTTGAGACGGAATGCTCTTTCCTGTTACACAACCCTCAACCGCTGGGCACATTTCTCTCAGGCCGATGAAGACGACTGCAACCCAGGTTCATGCTTCGTCTTAAAGGACACGCGACAGTAGAAATTGTATTGAGATGGGATCTGAATGCCACCGCATCTCAAGACAAAGACAAAGACCCGCCGCGTAGCCTTCACGGACTGTTGGGGCAAGATGCTGTTAGCGAGCACCTATGAAGGACGGCACGGCGCACGTGGGGGTGGGTGGCCAGCACCACTCCCGGCCGCCTTTGTCTTCCCCAGTGGCGATGTTTACACATCGCAGCAGGTACTCACTTGAGGGGAGGGTCAGAACCGGTTCAGATATTTGCCGCTGATGTTGGCCATGAACAGAAAGGGAACTTTGTTCGCCGGGTGTGCAGAGCAATCCGCTCACCACCGTCCCACCACTTGCCACATTGGACACACACCCACACAGATCGACACAAGCCAATTGCAAACATCCCCCATATAGCCTTAACAGACTGAAAGCGGCAAGTGCTGTTAGTGAGCACCTATGAAGGCCGGTAAGATACCCACACACACAGAAGATACACACACAGAGGGATAAACACAAATTCGCACTTGATGAGCATGCCACATGCACACAAGACAAAGAACCCCCGTATAGCCTTAAGAGACTTTTGGGGCAAGCGCTGCTGGCGACACACACCCGCACACACACCAATCCAATAACGTGGAAGAACAGGCCCGAGTACTTTGTGATGGACGCAGGGCGGTGGAGGTGGTGGGAGGGTGTCGGTGCCTACCCCGATATAACCGGTGGCTTCTGTTTATGTTTTTAGAACAAATTGTACCTCGCAATGACTTAACGTTCAGCGGGCGGTCACACGACACCCTCCGTGAGCGCATTCCATCGAGCCAGCGCTCCGTTCCTTCGCCGAATATTTCCCGGGTTCGCCGGTAGACCGGAGTTGGCGGCACGCGGCTGGTAGCTAACAGCCTTAGCGGGAGGTAGGGAGGTATGGAGGTATAGAGGTATGGAGGTATGGAGGTATAGAGGTAGGGAGGTATAGAGGTAGGGAGGTATAGAGGTAGGGAGGTATAGAGGTATAGAGGTATGGAGGTATAAAGGTATAGAGGTATGGAGGTATGGAGGTATAGAGGTATGGAGGTATAGAGGTATATAGGTATATAGGTATGGAGGTATAGAGGTATGGAGGTATGGAGGTATGGAGGTATGGAGGTATGGAGGTATGCTGTAGGCAAGGGGCCGTCCATAGGGGGTGTGGGGGCTCCGGGGAAAACCTTCCCCCCAACCCCCCCCCCCCCCCCCCGACGCCTTCAAACTAAATCAGAAGTATTACATCAGACACCGTGATGTCGAAGCGCGGGGGGCCTCCCCCCAGAGCGCGGGGCCCGGGGCGGTCGCCCCGATTTGCCGTGGAGGGGGGGGGGGCGGTGTTATGCGGCTGACACAAACAACAGACCCCAGCAGAAATTATTCCATGGTGGGTTTTTTAAATGAACGGAGCGAGGCTCCATCGGCTCCGTAGCGTCAGCGGGAGGAGGGTCGGGGTGGGCGCTGTCGGGGAGCTCCACCCTCCTCCTAGATTGTATTAACGTTTGTTGAACATTGACTGTGTCACTCCTTGCTACCCCCTCTATCCCCACCCACAAACCCAACCACCCACCCACCCACTCAATCACCCACCCAACCACCCACCCACCCAACCAACCACCCACCCACCCAACCACCCACCCAACCACCCACCCAACCACTCACCCACCCAACCACCCAACCACACACCCACCCAACCACACACCCACCCAACTACCCACCCAACCACCCACCCAATCCTCCACCCACTCAATCACCCATCCAACAACCCACCCACCTAACCACTTACCCACCCAACCACCCACTCAACCACTCACCCACTCAATCACCCACCCAACCACCCACCCACCCAACCACCCACCCAACCCCCCACCCACCTAACCACTCACCCATCCAACCACCCACCCATCCAACCACCCACCCAACCACCCACCCAAACACCCACCCAACCCCCCACCCACCTAACCACCCACCCATTCAACCACCCACCCAACCACCCACCCAATCACCTACCCAACCACCCACCCAACCCTCCACCCACCTAACCACTCACCCACTCAATCACCCACCCACCCAACCACCCACCCACCTAACCAACCACCCACAAAACCAACCAACCACCCACCCACCCAACCACCCACCCACAAAATCAACCAACCACCCACCCACTCAATCACCCACCCAACCACCCACCCACCCAACCACCCACCCAACCACCCAACCTCACCTCCACTGCACCCACCGAGCCAGCGAGTTAAACATTCCACGTCTGCACTGCGGTAGAGACCAGTGTCGCAATAATTATAGAAACAATACTCGTGTGGCAAGGGGCCGGAAGGATTGTGGCGTCGCACGAACTGTGAGAGATGGCGATGGCCTGGGGAGGAGGGGCAGAGGGGGCCTTTTTCCCAGCAGTCGATAGTACATGGTTGACGATGACGATGATATTGATTGCATCGAGAGAGAAAGCGATTCTCCATTTAAAGGAGGAGAATCATGATTGCAATGGGCTCATCATAATCATCATCGCCAGTCAGTGATGCTGACTGCAGTATGAGGTTAAATTGCACGGGACCGTTGTAAAATGTTCACGGAAAAAAAATTATCAACTGGTGAACTAAACATTATTACGGGAATAACAAATGCTCATCCCCACTTAAATACCAAACTCAACTTAAACAGCAGCAGCAGCGCCGAGCACTACAAACGTCGCTAATAATAACCACCGTAAGCACGGGCGGCTTCGTCAAATTTCAAAAACTGTCAGTGCCTCCTCGCGAGTGCAAAATTAATTCTTGCCCTCGGGGTTAAAGGGGGATGGGTGGGGTCACGTGGGTAAGGGGGGAGGGGCACGTTGGGGGGTGGTTGAAACGGGGAGGTGTGGCAGGAGGCGTTCAGTTCCAAATACTCAGAAGGGGCCCCCAACTCACACCAGGCGTGGGGTGGCTTTTTGCACCGGCTGGCAGGGCTGGTGGGGGGGGGATAACATCACGATCTGGGCTAACATCATCACAACCAGGGCTACCATCACCACAACCAGGGCTAACATCACCACAACCAGGGCTACCATCACCACAACCAGGACTAACATCACCACAACCAAGGCTAACATCACCACAACCTGGGCTAACATCACCACAACCAGGACTAACATCACCACAACCAGGGCTAACATCACCCCAACCAGGACTAACATCACCACAACCAAAGCTAACATCACCACAACCTGGGCTAACATCACCACAACCAGGACTAACATCACCACAACCAGGACTAACATCACCACAACCAGGGCTAACATCACCACAATCAGGGCTAACATCACCACAACCAGGACTAACATCACCACAACCAGGACTAACGTCACCACAACCAGGACTAACATCACCACAACCTGGGCTAACATCACCACAACCAGGGCTAACATCACCACAACCTGGACTAACATCACCACAACCAGGGCTAACATCACCACAGCCAGGGCTAACATCACCACAACCAGGGCTAACATCACCACAACCAGGGCTAACATCACCACAACCAGGGCTAACATCACCACAACCTGGACTAACATCACCACAACCAGGGCTAACATCACCACAACCTCGACTAACATCACCACAACCACGGCTAACATCACCACAACCTGGGTTAACATCACCAACACCTGGGCTAACATCACCACAACCTGGGCTAACATCACCACAACCAGGACTAACGTCACCACAACCAGGACTAACATCACCACAACCTGGGCTAACATCACCACAACCAGGGCTAACATCACCACAACCTGGACTAACATCACCACAACCAGGGCTAACATCACCACAGCCAGGGCTAACATCACCACAACCAGGGCTAACATCACCACAACCAGGGCTAACATCACCACAACCAGGGCTAACATCACCACAACCTGGACTAACATCACCACAACCAGGGCTAACATCACCACAACCTCGACTAACATCACCACAACCACGGCTAACATCACCACAACCTGGGTTAACATCACCAACACCTGGGCTAACATCACCACAACCTGGGCTAACATCACCAGCACATACTGGGCTTCATTTCTCACTCTGGCTTTGTGCGTTCCTCTGAATTTGCGGTTAAAACTTAAGTCGCGTCCTTTAGGACATCTGCTCGCCGTTCACCGGTCATGCAGCTTGCTATGGCACAGACACCACAGCCACCCGCCAAACCCCGCTCTGTTGGGGTGGAGGAACGAGCGGAGGTGAGGTGATTGAGGCGTTGCCCTAAACTATTGCCGTTACGGCTCAAATTAATCGCCGATCAAAATTAATTCGCGCGATTTTGGTTTGTCAGTGGGTCCGGGGGGGGAGGTGAATACAAAACTCACCGAAGTGGGATGGAGGCGGAGGGGGGGGGGAGGGGGGAGGGGGGAGAGGGGAGGGGGGGCCACAGGGACGCGACACAATATTCGACGAACTTTAAAAGAATGCTCGACGCGAAACCGAATGAGTAACAATCCGATCTGCTTTCGTCCGCAGTCCATTCTGCTCGGCCTCTCGCCCCCCCTCCGCCCCCGTTCTCGCCCTCCCCCCCCCCCCCCCACCCCCCGTGTGTGTGAAGAGAGGCTGTGATGAATACCCACGGTTAAATTGCACTAATTTTTTGCTGCTTGTCCAGTACCCCCCAACGACCAGAGACACGACATATTAATAACTTACACGATCCAACCCAAAAATCTCCATTATGAACAGCACAGAGGGTTTGTAAATCGTCGTCGTCGTCATCGCCGTGATCATTGCATGGACGCTTGACTGTGCAAGGAAGAATGCTGTGGCGGATCGACTGCCGGGGTGTGAGCTGGGAAGTCGATGTAACGCGCGCGACCCGGTCGTTCCACCTCCCCGGCGAGAACTTGCGACGCACATTACGTTTCGCGTTGGAGCGGGACCACGTGCTGTGCACGCAAGTGCCCTGGGCCAATACCGCGCGGGATAATTCAGCGGCATTTTTTGTTTAACCGAGCCTGACCCTGCCCCGCGACGCCGAAAAGGAACAAAAGCGGTGCAGGGTTATAGCTCGCTTCAACGTAATATTCTGCTTGGTGGTACTGGTCCGGTAGGCCATTCGCAATCGGAATCGGAATATTTATTTGAACTGGAGGAATCCTACGATTCACGAAGCTCTTTGTTCACGGAAGTCCAGTAGGGGCGGGTCAGAACGGTACAACAACAAACAACGCAAAAACACGGCAGGAGTGCCAAGTATAGCAAAGGTAAACAAATCACTTACAAATATACAAATTACACAGAACGTGATGTTGCCGCGATATTAAACTACAAAACCAACCAAACTATAAACCCATTTTTATTTTACCGGGTCAGACGCGACCTGGCCGTTTTCAGACGCGACCTGGCCACACATGACAGCTCAACGAAGTGGCTCATGGTCGTGTTGGAAATTTATAGCGGCAGTCAAATATTCGGAACGATCTGAACGATCTAAAGGCGTGTTTCTAAATGTGGGGGGGGGGGGGGGAACCGGGAGAACATGAGCTTTGCTAATATATTTCTTGATGGGAATTTAGAAGGGAGAGGTGGGGCGTCGGGGAGGGGGGGTTAGCGAAGCTCACAGTCACTCCGACGCTACATCGCCCTCATCATCAGGACTGCCCCCTCCGCACAGTTTTCCAAGCCAGTCCTGGGATCGCAATGGGAGGGAGGGAGGGAGTGAGGGAGGGAGTGAGGGAGGGAGTGGATGGGGCAGCGATGGGCAGGGAGAGAGGGGGCGGAAGACGTTGCCGCAGTTATTTTTCGACGAACGGACGGCCGTGAGCGCCAGTTTCCATTGCCTGCGCACCGAGGGATCCGCCGGTAATCCCTGTGCCATGGGGGGCGTCCGCGGAATTAATTTATTTTAAAAGCGGCCCACCTGTTGCTTGAACAGGAGAGGAGAAATCGCTCGCGCGCCCGTCAACAACAGCCGGCTCGGTTCGCCTCCCCACGCGGGTTCCGACGCGTCGCTCCGCTCGGCCGCGAACGCCGATGGCAATCGGCGTCGCGCGACGAAGGCACACACAGAAGACAAAGAGCCCCCATACTAGCCTCATCACGGACTGTTTTGTGGAAAGTGCTCTTTAGTGGACACCTATGAAGGCTGGCACGGCAGACGAGTGAGTTGGGTGGCCAGCACCACGCACGGCCACACCTTGTCTCTCGAGCGATAACTTTTACAGACACGCATCATTTGAGGCCGCGCCGACCTAGGTGAGGCCCATTAGCGGTCCGGATACTCGTCACTGGTGTCGGCCGTGAGCGGGAATTAAAACTCGGTTCAAAGCGCGGCACACGCCAACCGCTGGCACCACCGCCACTACATTCGCCCACACACCGACGAGTGGACTCACGGTTGGGCGGCAGCAGCTGGCGCAGGCGCAGGTAGCTGATGGCGAGGCGCATCACCGACGCCTTGTCCAGCGCGGCGGAGGCCGCGGGCGGCAGCGGCAGCTCCCGCGCCAGCTGGGCGAACACCTCCGTCTCCCAGCCACGCCGGCACCGCGCCGCGTCACGGGACTTCTCCTTGCGCCGCTCCGAGTACACCCTGCCGTCGCACAGCGCGTTGGTCGCCGGGTCATAACTCGTCGCTCACGTACACACACGGGTACAGGACAAAGATCCCCCACACCCTCGCCCCGTATCGCCTGAACAGACTGTTAGGGGCAAGTGCTGTTAGCGAGCACCCATGATGGTCGGCACGGCACACGAGGGGGTGGGTGACCAGCACCACGCCCGGCCGCCTTTGTCCCCTTTGAGGCCGAGTCGACCTAGGGGAGGCCCAGGACCGGTTCAAATAATCGTCACCGGTGTTTGGCCGCGAGCGGGAATAGAGCCCCGTTCGCCAGGTTCGTAGTGCAGGGCGCTAACCACTACACTACCGTTCCCGATACACACACGTGCACGCAAGTAGCAAAACTCACAATGCTACCTTTGCCCCGTTATGGGGAACAAAAAAAAAACAATGGCGGAGATGGAGGCGCGTTAAAAAAAATGTTTCACGCAAAAAATCGCCGAGACTTTTCTAACCATGCCCGAGCCGGAACACCGAACCGCGAGGAGCGGTGATGTAACCTGGCACCCGAGGGCCCCATCGCGGTACAATCGCCGGAAGGACACTCCCACCACCGCTATATTAACCGTCAGGCCTTCATCTTCCCCGCACCTCCAGCTCGCGCACACAAAACGCGACGTCGCCCCGATGTGAAACTATAAAAAAAACAAGAAAAAACTCTGAACTGGTTTTTATTTTACCGGGTAAGGCCCACTGAGCCATATGGCAATATTTTTCAGAAGCGACCTAGAAATTTGTAGTGGCAGCCAAACGCTCTGAACGCACGCTGATTCTAAAAGCGGAGGGGAAAACCCGGAGGAACCACGGGGAGAGAGAGAGAGAGATGTGTAAACTCCAAATATACAGCAGGCGTCAGGGTCGGGGTCGAACCCATGACCTCCTGCACACCAGGCGAGGGAGATAACATTTCGCCACATTGGCGCCCCGAATATCTGTCCAGAGGCAGACGACATCTCAGTGATGTGTAGCTCGTTAAATATTTGTAATCTCAGGATAACACGTAGTAGGCTTTCACGATCAATATCATCCATAATACAGGTTTTTTTGGGGGGTTAGACCGCGTAAATATATAAATGTGTCGTTAAACTGGTGGACTTCTCCACAAATCTGGCTGTTGCCAGATGAAGATAGTTGTAATTATTGGCGAAACGTCGTACTCAGATTGTAAATGGTTCTCCAGATTGTAAATGGCTCGGCTCTCCAACACACCGGTGGTGCTGTACGAGTGACGAATTGGCACGTTCTGTTTACGTGACAACCCTTACTAGTTGGCGGTGTTGGGTGGTGGTGGATTTAACGAAACAAACAAAACCAGGAAGCTTGCGACTTGTAATCGGCGACCTACATTCCACACCCGGCAGTTGTTGTTAATTGGTGTGATGCACCGGGACAGTGAAACAGGCATGAATTTCCATCTAAACTACACGGCCAACGGTGAATTTGTCATTCGTGTCCAATTGCATTACCTCCCGTTAATTTGAACGTATTTTGCCCCGTCTCTGCCCTCGTCACGAGCTCCGCGCGGTATTTACGCTGCGCAACAACCTTCGCCGCCGTCAGCAGCAAGTGATTATCATCTTGCAGACGATTCCATAACAAGGGACGCAAGGACACACGCGGGATTGTGAGAAGCACAATGCCACTTCAGCCGGCAGCCTCGTGAACGTCAAATCACGTGACCGCGAGCTCACGCTATGCGTGCGCGATCGCCTTTCGGTTTTCACAGACCCTCGTGCGCGGACTTGCGCCATTTCAGTTGGGAATAAATATCGACTTTCGTCTTCGTGACATCCCTCCGACATCTGCTGATGTCATTTTGCAAGCATATTCATTCAAGTTTGCCCATGGCACTGAAGGATCTGGTGTTCACCACGTAATTTAATGTCAAAGAGATGGTTCATATTCGGTATAGTGGATATATGTATATTTTACGTCTCACGTGGTTCACGGTTTTATCCTAACTGTGCCGCGTCACGAGATGACGTTTCCATTCGGGACTCTCACTGAGCAGTGCAATAAATCGTACATCAGAGAACGGCACGTGGAAGTATATATTACAGAACTACTTCTTGAAGTCCCTGCAAGCCATCTCTTTAATTCACACACACACACACTGGCAGATGGTCAACTTTCTCACACCGCAGTGTAACGTTAGTCCCACTGCAGTTAAACCGACACTTCAAATTCTAAGCGCTGCAATGAAGTCAAATTAGATATTAAAAAAAACAGACGATTGTAATTCTATGGATGTATGTTGACTTCTTTCGCACCATACGTAGCCAACCTTGCGAGTTGGAGGTGCGGGGGAAGGACAACAAACTTAACGAAAAAGAGCAGTTATATATGTACAAAAAATGCATTATCAATCGAGATGATTTAACAGTGCACAGCTCCACAACGGCTTCCTAATAAAGTCCAAGACGACGCAACGGAGGGTTCTGTCGTGCACAGTCAACGACGCCCGGGCGGGCGGAGGGTGCTCAGCGCGGACCCCCTTCGCCCGCGACTTTCAACCCCAGAGCCTCAGCGGCTCCGGCTCGGTGCCCCTTGACCCGCGAGCCACCCCGAGACTCGCGCTTTAAATAACGCCTTCCCCCCCGCAGCGCTCACACACTGGCCTGCGAAAAATCTGGTGACCAACCCCACCACCAACCCCACCACCAACCCCACCACCACCCACCCGCGACATGGCCCCAAACGTACCCCTCTCCGCTCCCCATTAATAGGACCTCTCAGAAAACAAACAAGAGGTTTCCTGCATTTGACCTCAACTTACCCTCCGCCCCCCCCCCCCCCAAACATTTACAGCCAATCTCGGATTTTCCTTTTTTTCTCCCTTTCAAATAAAAAAAACGTCCACTGACACAATTTGTCTCCTGCGACGACGTCGACCCGAACGAATATAAAATCCCCGGCGCTCTTCGATCGTGCGGCGCTCCCTCTCTCACCACGCTCGCCAGCGCGTGTGGGCAGAGGGAGGCATCGCCAACATCATCCCCTGGCGACCGCACGTGACCTCCCGTCGTTGAGTGGTCGCGCACACGACGGCTAAACAAACTTGTTTTTGTCAGATTTTTTTTCTTCTTCTTCTTCCAGCCGCCATACCCTACGACCCCCCCCCCCCTCATCTGCCGCAACCCCCTCCGCCCCCCCTCTCCCCCCACGATCAACTTGGTCAACTCACTGACACGCTCACAAGCGCTCACGCGCGCGCACGTGGCAATTAACTCGCGAGCGGAGCGTTTTGTCCAACGCAGCTCTCCCCGGTGTCGCTCGCTCACGCGCTCGCTCGGTCGCGCTCAGAGTGCGCGCAGGAGGCGCCCAGCGGTTTTGCTACCACCGCTTGCCCCGTAACAGTCCCCCCCCCACCTAACCGTTTCAACCTTCTCTTCTTTCATACAACACCGGTTCAAGGGCTACCCTTTTGCCTTTGTCTTTGCGCTCGAATAATTTGCGGGGGGAGTTTGGTGGCGGCACATTTGGCGATCGCGATGCGTTCGAGACCTTCGATTTTACCGGCCACGGCAAACATCGCGCACTGACCAGTGTGGTGAAGTATGGTCAACTCCCCCCCCACCCCCACCCCCACAACCACACCCCTCCCCCGCCACGGCATGGATTTATTGCACGTTATTTGTTTTATTACAGCGACTCGCGAGAGCGCTCCCCCCCCCCTCTCCCCCAGTTTTTTTTTAAGTTTCCTCCGTTCGCATGAATACGTCCCAAATCTCGCTCGCAGCCACACAATGTCCAGGCGGACGAGAGGAAATGAAACTGCGGTTTTTTTTTTGGGCGAACGTTATTTACGAGGCGCGGAGAGAGAGGGAGAGACAATCGCGCTGACCTCAGCTCACCCGGGGCCACCGCTGCTGCTGCTGCTGCCGCTGCTGCCGCTAACCGCACACGATCCACCCTCCCCATCCCCTTGGCCGCGAGCATTCTCCCAAACCGTGCAGAGGCAGCCGCGGTCGCGCGTCAAACTTTTCGCTTCTAATTAAAGAATCGGGGTCGCGGCCCGGCCCCACCAACCACCCCCCCCCCCCAAATCTCCTCTATCGCACGCGGGGGGGGGGGGGGGTCGGAACTCCGAAATAGGCGGCGCCTCGTTAGAGCGGCGAGATGCGTCTCTTATCTCCGTGCCCCTAAGGACGATGTGTGCGGTTTACAGAGGGGGGCAGGCTACCCCCCCCCCAAACACCCCCACTTGCCGATCTCGTCAGCAGCAGCAGCAAGCGGCCTTTGGCTGGCAGTCGAACAAAGGCCGTGGGCCACGGCATCGCGCGAATTCAGACGCGCTTCTGCGGCCGTCTGGAATGCTCCTCCTTCCGACATTAGGAAGCCGCCGGGAGCAAATCTACTTTTAAAGCATCTCGATTGCAAAGCTTACTTCTGTGGCACTGCTTTTTGTGTTTAGTTTGCTGTCCTTCCGGCGTGAAAGGAGTCCAACGTGCATACGTGCGTGCATGGAGGATGGCGAGAGGCGTGCACACGCACGCAGGCACGGGAAACAGCGACCCCCCCCCTCCCCGCGTCGCCTCGTGGAGCCGAGTTCGTCGCTCCATCTCCCCGCGGGTCGCGTCCCCTATGGGCGCGTTCCCCTCGCCTCGGCCGCTGCCACTACAACGGTCGTGTTGGCTGCCGGCCACCGTCATGACACACACACACACACGTGGAGTGTACAGCCAGAGGTGCCCTCCCCCCCCCCGCCCCCCTCTGTGTAGCCTCAACGAGTCCCCCCGGGGGGGGCAAGGGCTGTTGGCGAGCAGATATGAAGGGCGGCAACGGTGCACAAACGGGGTGGTGGTGGTGGTGTGGTCGGTAGCACCACCACCATCGCCGCCGCCACCACCATCACCAGCACCACCGCTACCACCGCCACCACCACGCCTGACTGACACCACCAGCACTACCGCTACCACCGCCACCACCACGCCTGACTGCCACCACCAACACCAGCACCACCGCTACCACCG